GACTTATGGTTCCGAAGTTATGGCTGATAAAAAATTCCAAGCCTATGGGATGTGACACGCCCCTTTTTACAAACTCGTTTATATATATCCTCGTATAAGCACCTACCATTGATATGTCTGCATATCATATATCAAGTTGATGCGATATATGGTCCCGACGTTATAGCTGATAAAAATTTCAACGAATATGGAATATGCCACGCCCCCTTTCACAAACTCTTTTATATACATATGCCCTCCTATAAACACCTACCATTGGTATGTCTGCATACCAAATTTTAAGTTCGTGGGACTTATGGTTCCGAAGTTATAGCTGATAAAGGATTCCAAGCCTATAGGATGTGCCACGCCCTCTCTCACAAACTCATTTATATATACCCTCATGTAAGCACCTACTATTGATATGTCTTCATACCAAATTTCAAGTTCATGGGACTTATGGTTCCGAATTTATTGCTGATAAAACATTCCACGCCTATGGGATGTGCCACGCCCCCTTTAACAAACTCTTTTATATATATCCTGGTAAAAGAACCTACCATTGATTTGTCTGCATACCAAATTTCAAGTTGATGCGACATATGGTCCCGAAGTTATAGCTGATAAAAATTTCAACGAACATGGAATATGCCACGCCCTCTTTCACAAACTCCTTTATATATACCCTCCTATAAACTCCTACCATTGATATGTCTGCATACCAAATTTCAAGTTCATGGGACTTATTTTTCCGAAGTTATGGCTCAGAAAATATTCCACGCATATGAGATGTGCCACGCCCTTTTTTACAAACTCGTTTATATATGCCCTCGTATAAGCACCTACCATTGATATGTCTGTATACAAAATTTCAAGTTAGGTGGGCTTATAGTTCCAAAGTTATAGCTGATAAAAAATTCCACGCCTATGAGATGTGCCACGCCTCCTTTTACAAACCCGTTTTTATATACTAGTGTTCGCCTAGCGGTTGAAATTCAACCGCTAAAATTAAGGATAATTTATGTGAGTTGAGTTGAGCTGAAGTAATATTAGTTGGAATGGGTTAAGTGGAGGAGAGTTTAGCTTAGTACTAAGCATAACATAACATAAGATTAAATAACATAACATATGTAGCATAACACACCACAATATAATATCGCACATTCTTCAGTTGTATTTCCTTTTTATCCCTATCACTTTCTTCCTCTCTGTCTTTGTCTCTATCGCTTTTAATGTTTATGTTTATTTTTTGGTTTATCTTCACCTTCATGTTCATGTTCAAGTTCATGTTCATGTTCATGTTCATCTTCATCTTCATATTCACCTTCGTCTTCATCTTTATCTTTTCCTTTATCCGGATCTATATCTTCATTTACGTATTCACCCCCACCATTGTTATTAGGTTAGGTTGTTAAATTTTCCTTCCTCTTTGTTTTTATATTTAGATTTCTTTACTTTTATTCTAATCTTTGCCTTCAACTTTACCTTCTTCCTTACATGAACCTTAATCTTATCGGAAGTTTATCAATTTATATGAACGCCGCTATTATTTTATATTTCATTATATAAGATTAAAAATCTGGTGTATTTTGGTTCACTTTATGGCAAAATATGTCATTGATGCCACATCAAGTGATATCATGTCAAGTGGTGAAATTGGGTGTGGTGAGTTGCGTTGTGGCGGAATTGGGTGTGGGAGTTACGGCGTTATTAATTCAGGTGTGGTGGGCTTAAAAAGTGTGGTGAGTTTAGGTGTGGTGAATTTAGTTGTGTTGAGTTGAGGTGTGGTGAATTAAGGTGTGGTGAGAAAGTTGAGGAGTGGTGAATTTAGGTGTGGTGGATTAGGTGTGGTGAGTTAAGGTGTGGTGAGTTGATGTGTGGTGAATTAATTGTGTGGTGGATTTAGGTGTGGGGAGTGAAGTAGTGGTGGATTTAGGTGTGGGGAGCTAAGGCCTGGTGAATTAATGTGTAGTGAGCTCGGTAGTGCGATTCACTAACTTTTAACAATGCGACTTGTCGAGTTGTCAGCTAACAATTTTTGTTGTTTGCAGTAACGATTGTGCGATTCACTAACTGTGCTGCCACTAATGGACATAAATCCGTTGCATATACCAAGGCGCTCGTGTGAGCACAAAGTTCACAAGCATTTTATATGGAAGAAAATGCGCAACACACTCCACAAAAAAAAATTCTAAAAAATCAACGGTAGCTTTTAGCGACTTGAAACTTGCATCTTATTGGACTAAAAATTAATTGGCTACAAAACTGCATACCCGAAAATCATTTAAAGATTCTGAATAAAAAGTTCGAAATCTTGGTGAAAATTTTTTAAAGTTTGATTGATTCTTGTGAATTTTGTGCAAGCTTTAAAACTTATATACATGTGGTTTCTGTTGTTATATAGTAGATGGAACTATTTAAAAAAAAAAAGTATTAAAAATAAAAAATACACACACAAAAATCATTTAACATGAAAAAGTTTGTTAATATTTAACAAAAAAATCAGTATGCACATTTTGTACATATTTATTATCAAGACTGATTTTATTATGCTAATGTCATGATGATTAATAAAGACATATTTAAATAGGCACATACTTATATGATATTTATATTTTTAATAAACGATGTACACGTATTAAATTGAAAACTTTAATTATTCAATTCCTTTAAATTCAAGGTATATTCAGTTTCTGTAAGATTAAAAAATATAATTATCACGTTTTAACTTCCAGATTTCTATATTAACTTTACGCCCTATTGCAAAATTAAAAAAAAATTATGTATGCGATTTTGTAGCCCTTTAAAGTTTAGTACAATGAAGTGCGAGTTTGATGTTGCTGAAAAATCCTTTGATTTTTGATATTTGTTTTTGCTAGCTGTGCTGTGCATTTTTTCATATGAATAAATTGTAGAACGTACGTTTTATGTTTTATTAACACCACCAATCTAGACGTCGTCAATTTAGCGGCCTTTGTTATCGTTAACAACAACCGCTGATTTGGCGCAAACGAATGTTGTTAGGGAAACGTTTACTGAATAGCTAAATTGTTAAAATTGTAGTTTAGCTGACTTAACAATAACAAGAGTTGTTAAAATCGCACCACAGGTGGAGTAAGTTTTTAAGCAGAGGTGAGATGAGTTGAGGTGAGTTAAGTTAAGTTAAGGGGTTATGATCTTTGTCCTTATCTTCATCTTCATCTTCATCTTCATCTTCATCTTCATCTTCATCTT